CACCTGCATGGCCACAAGAGCCATTGATCCTGGAATGGTACTAGAGAACTCAACTCAAGGGTTCCTTCTTGCATTTCGGCGCTTTATAGCACGTCGGGGAAACCCTGTTTGATCCTTAGGGACAAATCCACATTCAGGTCGGCGGACGACGCCTCACAACATGTTGTTTATGCTCAAACAACATCAACGCAACCGACCAATTATTTTGCTTGTCAAGCATCCAGTGAAAATTTGTTTCTCCTTGGAAAGAAGGTTCTTATGAAAGACTTGTAGGTCTTGTTAAATCCGCTATACGTAAATCCACTGGTCGTTCTCTCATTCCACTTCGGCAGTTTCACACACTTGTGTGTAAAATAGAGACTACTTTCAATTGTCGCCCTCTTACATCAATTCCAGATACTACCAATTCGCCTAACATACTGCGTCCTGTAGACTTTATTTCACCTTACGTGCAACTTCAAGCACCATCAGCGATAAACGATTCCACCCTTGACTTGTCTTCTCACCGACTAGCTGAATGGTACGGAACTACACATCAGTACTTGACCAATTCTGGGCCATTTGGTTTAACGACTATCTGTTAGCCTTGTCACAACGCTACGCTTCGACAGGACAGTTCGATACAGGTTCGAGAAGCAACAGTGCGCACCCCCATCGGAAATAGCCTTCAAAGATCCATAAATCAACTTTATCCCCTAGAAATAGTGGCTCTAGAGGACGATCCAGAAACTAAACACCAAAATCCTACACGAGTTCAACAATTCAGAACTGCTAAATTTAATCGTTCATTCACGCAATACCGTTAACTCAATTGTAAAACATTTTCGCCTACGAACATTCGTCACTTCTTTTTTTCTTTCTTTTCTGTGAAACAGTTTCCCAAAAGTTTATGATTAACTCAACCCATTCTGAAATTTTGCCTTATCAGACTTATTATTCAAATAATCGTGAACACGACATGGACTGACTCCTTTCGTTTACAACGTCCACACGATTTCATAACAGTTCTCACAATCCATCGAAAATACTCAGAACGATAACATTGTCTACACACCTAACACTCTCCTCATATTACGTAAACACTAGCAGGAACGTGCGAAAACGGATAGACGGAACGGATAAACGGAACATATTTCAACACACATGTACTGTATCGGAACGGATAAAGGGAACATATTTCAACAAACATGTACTGTATCGAAACATACCGTGAATTATTTTAGTTCTTGAATACAAAACTTGTACGCAGCGCGACCAGCATTGTAATGGCTCTTTTTCGTGTCATGACCTCGTTACATATATGTATTCGTACATGAGGAGTTCTACGCACCTATAATATTTAGCGCCTGCCAGCCGACATTCCCTTGTGTCTGGCACACTCCAAGAAAGACATGCTCTCTAGCCAAGAAGCGCCCTTTAAGGATAAGCACGTGGAATTGGCAAGGGCGTTATGAAATCTGTCCCTTCGCATCATATATAAGGATGCGTGTATTATGAAAAGCAATAGGACTCGACAATCCAACATCTCCTGTCCTTTTATTTTTCGGTTCGGCGCTTGTCTTTAGAGCTTTTTTTTTGATATGATCAGCTAAAACTAAACGTCTCCATCCGCCGTTCGGCCCTCTGGTATCACTCATCACCGTCTGTTTACTAATCATCGCTATCTACTATGTTGATATTCGATATCCTATTTTGCATATTTTGCGTTGATTGCATAAATATTTTGCATTCTCACTCATGAGCGCAGAGATGGTGTAGCTGAATATCGCTCCCGATCGGTGAAAAACTTCTAACTCATCATTGTAAACAGAGCATTGACCTAGGGTATTGGCTCATTAAGTTCTGATTTGATTGTGCCTCTGACACAGTTCTTTGTTTGGGTCAATATCCAATATCAGCCCGATTCTCAGAGCTTCCTGCCCTGCAGTAATTCTTTTATCAGTTAGCAAGAGCGATTATTCAGCTATCTGATCATTATGGATATTGCCGTTTTTGATGCAAGGTGCACATAAAATCATTGATCAGCAGTAAATTTGCTGAGGGTTTCGAATGTCATTTCTTTCTAAGGAATTTAAGCAAATGTATGGGCACAGATACGAGTAACTGAGGTAAGGAAACCGGAGACCCTTGTCCGCTTGCAGAGTGTATTCACACCACTTCCGCCGCTCGCGCGATACCGTATCCGACGCCTTTTTTATGCAACTGTGCGGTGTTTCTCGCATTTTATCAATTAATAAATACTCTATGGAGTCTTTTTCAATGTCTCATCACTCTTTCTCATTGAAATGTCATTTCGTCTACTACATTTAGCATGCGCATCTGTAATACTTGGAATTAAAACCTTTTTTCAGATAGAAGTGGTGGAGTGATCCTCAACCCGAAAGTGACTCGTGCGATCGACACTAACGAAGGTGAGTTTCTCTGCGTTTTGGTTTTCTTCACTGTATATTTCAACTATGTACCTGTTTTGTGTATGCTCATATTGCGATTTTTCTTACATATCGTTCCAGGGAATGATACGCAATATCGTCATCAAGTTCTGGGTGTGCTCGTGGCGTGAAACATTCATGATAAGATAACAGATAATAAGAATCGGTGATTATTTTAGCCTTTCTGACAAAGGGCGGGAAAAAAATTGGGCTACGTAAGACAGTTGACTATTCCATTTTAGACTCAATTCCGCATTTCGATTCGCGTTTTATTATGACCGACGACACTAATGTGTTTTAGCATACATATCAGCTTTTTCGCAGAGTAGAGCGCAGAAGATTCTGTGCGCTTTTCATGCCTCCAAATGTGTCGAAAGGAGACTGAACGAAAGTTTGGGGGCAATTATTCAAGGCCATTCACTGAGATAGCACTTCAATGGGAACATCGAAACAGCTTGTCACAGACACAAGATGCAAAACTGGGGCTACAACTTTTTCGCGAACTATTCACCAGGCTGTGGTGAGTCGTTTTGAGCGAAAAAAGTATTACAGATGCTAATGCTAAATGTAGTGGACGGAATGACATTTTGATGAGATTTCCTCCTCATTGATGCCTTCCTACGACACGGGTTTGACACATCTGTTCTTCAACAGATTGTGAACGAGGCTTTGGGCCCAAGTGAGGCTGACGTGGACTATCCTACGGTTAAGAAACACTCGGTTTATCTCATAGTACAGCATTCTAGAGGAGTTCATCACGCAACTATGAAGTTTACCCAGTTTCATTGTCGTTTGGCAGGCAGTCCGAAGTACTGAAAATCGGCTAGTGTTCTTCTTGACTTCCATCAGCAGATTCTTCCACTCATGTGCAACGTCATGGAGCATCGCCAATCTCTGTCGAACTTGGTCTTGCCGCACATCTTGAACCCAATTGAAGTAAATCGCGAACTCACGGATCTTTTTAATGAATATAGAATCAACGCCATTCGTATCAAATATCTATTCGCAGCGGCTGCTGCGACTTTAATGTATGCCTTTGCGGATTTGCAGAATATGGCGTCAGCAGTGGTCCCCACACTTAGAAGTTGGACAAGCTAAGATCGGAGGCTCAAAAATCAGACCCAAAGGGGAAGGAGGCTCTCGAACCAGAGGTCAGAGCTCCGGATCAAGGCTCCAGCAAAGACGAATCATCGAGGTCGGGCACGATCAAGGCGCATGGAGTGGCAAGCCTACACAGCACAGCGAGGAGGTCTAGCCCCGAGCGAAAAGAACGTTCTTCTTCTCAGGGTTCTTCTCTCGAGCCATCTGGCAGCGACAGACGTTCTCCTATATCTCGGTTCTACAGCTTGAAAAATTTACTTCAAAACTAAAGGAAGAATGCCGAGATTCATCGACAGTCGCACATGGACTCTCCTAAAAACGTTCGTTGCCATTTTTGTAAAGGTAATCATTTTACTGCAGAGTGCCGCAAAGTGACCAGTCTCCATGAGAGATGTGTCCGCATGGCAAAAGAAAGACGTTGTCTTCGTTGCTTGTATGTCCACCCTCTGGACAATTGGCATCGAACTCTAGCGTACCGTGTATGCAATAGCCAGACTTATCATCATCATGCCGTGTGCCCCAAAATGATGAACTTGACATAGACATAGGAAGAAATGTGACAAACCTTTATCGAGCTATGACGTCACTATACGAAGAACACCACGCAGATCGAGCAGTGAATAAGATGTAGATTTTCCAAATTTATTTGTTTTCAAATTCTAAACAATCTGTCGTTCAATTATCAGTTCACGGATGATGAACAAAGCGCCCGGTCGCAAGAGTATGACACTGTATATTACCAGGCCAAAGGGCTAACCGGAAGGATGCCTTGCGCCTCGGGCCACAAGGTCCTTACACGAAAGCTCTGACGTGGCACTCCCAATGTCTAGTGCTATCGCGGCGGACTGGTTAGGCAATTTCATCAGCTCGTGTCTCATTATCCTTTTTTTAAGCTACTTTCGATATTGTTTTAATTTCATTCTATCAGTTACATAAACTTCAAGTTTACCGGAGTAGCCCAGTCTCTGTGAGTCCTGGGAAAAGGAACTTGGAGTAAGTAGGTATGCTTCTTTTTTGAGGCCTATCTTATCTACTACTTTCATGTATGTTATCTACACACATCATCAGTTCTTGATCTTAAAAGAGTTAATGTTCTCCTGGTAACTCCCGCTATGTATAAGAAGATGTAATCTCATTATCGCTCATTTAGTCTCTCCTTATATTTGTCTCATCACGTATTTAGCCTCTTTATGTATTGTCTTGCTATATGTATGCCTTGCTGCATGCTTAGCCTTGCCATGTGTTACCCTTACCACGTTGTTCAGTAGTGCCATATATTTAGCCTTACCTTGATATTGAGCCTTACCAGTATTTAATAAGAAGATAAACATATAATGATGAGCTTGTGTAATGTAAGAGATGTATGTTGTATAATAAGAATAACTGGATCAGGGCTGAGACGGAAGGCAACACGGGAACAGTGACCAGGCATTAGGTAATCCCTGGGTTTTGTGGTGATGAGGGTTAAAATCACCGATGTTCCACCCATGCGGACCCCCTCATGGAACAAATCACATACTCGTAGTTGAAGGGCGTCTTTGCAATACATGAAGCTCCATTGGCACATAGGTGATTGGAGCATGCATCGGCAACTGCTTCGCAGTATGGTGGCTTGAATCCTGGTTCACATATACACCTAAATGAGAAACTCTTGCAAAGAATTTATGCGGCGAGTAAACAGCCTGGTTGAGATCAAGTAATTTTCAGCAATTATCAATTCGTACGGATGTGTATAGGGGTAATCATATCCCATTTTCTCGAGCCGAAAAAAGGAAGGAAGATTGAAGGAATTTGTGATGCATACAACCTCGTCATGAAAAAGAAGCCCGGAGAAAGCTGGGCTCTCCCATCCAAGTGTCGACTTTGATGGATGCTGATAAATGGCGGATCGATCAGACTTTTATATTTATATTGGCTTTCAGTATTATTAAGCTATGTGGAAGCGCCATCCAAAACCTATAGTGTATAGGCGTTCCATCGTCTTTATAACCGTACACTTCCTATTGACTTAAGATAGAAGTTAAAGTCTACTTTACCTGAATCCATCTTTCATCTCGTTGTCATTACACAACTGCAATACGTCACCACGCTCCGAATGCTTGCACGATAGACACTCTCCTCGATGGCACGGATTTTTTTCTCGAGAACAGTTTCCCGTACCAGCGTAGACGCATTTCGTCTCTGCAATAGGCCAACAATACAAAGAAAAAATCGAGCTTAATTTATTTTAATTCAAGGGAATATGGGAGACCTATGTATATGTAGCAGTGTGAAGCTTTTTTTTCACTCAGAGGTTTGCGGTAAAAATCTATGTATATGTTTGATTGTATAGCAATTGAGAGTAGATTGGGACCATTTTCAAAGGCTTGTAGAAAAGCCGCATGTGTGATTCAGCCTAGCCTACACATGATAGCGCTGATGATCATCCCTCATGAAGTGAAAGTCTAAAGTCTTGGGGCGCTGATCAATCTCATTTGGGGAATGTGCCCACGCATTAGACTTCCATTCAAAATCGTTGGAGGGTGTGGAATGCGTATGTGGCTTATACAATGACTTGCGGTGACCAGCGAATGTACAAGTCAGTGTTTTCATCCTCTTAAATAAGTCTGGTACCAAATAACAAGCCAGGAGGGATGGAAGGCTTTGTTAATCTAGACCTGAAAGCCAAACTCGCGACAGTGTGTGTGTGTGTGTGTGAAGTGCGTCACTTGCCACTGCACCACCGCCGCCTTAATCCCCACCTACTGCAGGGAACTTGTACAAGAGTTAGAAATGATAGATCTACAGCTCGTCTTTACGAGTTTCTGAAGATGCTCTGGTGGATTGTGTGAATAGCTGACCTATTAACCGTTTCAATTAGTTCCTCAAGATCGGTGCAGACCATAGAAAGTTCTACCAGTCTTTGAAATAGGTTATCTGCATCAACACAACAAACTCAGTTGATTCTGTAGAAACGGGTTCCGTATTAATTGCTCTTTGATCCGTGCTTTCCGTAATTGTTTTAGGCTGCTAAAAGCTAGAAAAGGACTTTAGCTGGTCATGGAGGATATCGTACTTGAGCCAACTTAATTGTAGAGAAGGTTGTGGAATTTCGAACATCGATATCAACCGGACTTCATTTATGACTCATTATAATAGCTGATTTCTGAACCACTTGCTGGTCAAGTGCAAACACTCTGTTTCTGCTCTCGCATCATTCCTGATACAATAGCAGAGCAGTAATCGAACTAACAAACATCCACCTCCATTTCCAGTTTGGTTGGCCCTTCCAGTTTAATTCTCCTTAATTTTTACTCAAAATTCCATCCTTTGGCAACTGCTTAAAGCCTCAAAAGGATTGATGCGCTGAGAGCGAGGAAGAATAAAGAGCATATATACATATAACACAGTTCCCTCTCAAAACAGGGTCTACTTTGTTTCCTCTGATTCTCATGCAAATAACACCGCCTTTATCCCAAGTCCGAGAACAACCTTGGTCACATTCCTGGCGTGACTTCTTCGATGGCCATACACATGATTGGAGCGAATATAAGTCTACATTTATTCATCTCGAAATATATACTCCTACTATATCACGAAGACTCACCAGTAGGATTCTCCTCGTCGATAGTTTCAGCCATGCCACAAAGGCAGCGATAGTTCTGAGCTGATAAATCTCCCTTCACTTTCAACTCATCAGGAATCTATATATAGTATGTGACACATATATTTCACAAAAAATCATAGGTCGAAAATCACCACACATCATCACTTTTCTCTCTTGATTATTTGCTTCGTTGTGAGTTTGAACTTGAATAGATTTATGTCAAAAAACGCTTGAAAAAACCGCTAACCGCAATACAATCTGACTGTTTCCCACATGGGTTCCTTGCACAGGGATCGTAAACTTCGCATTGCTCGCCGACGTACCCAGGGAAACAGCTGAAGTAAATGATGAAAGAGAATCATCAGCGATTCAATGTACCACAGGATAAATCTCGATAAGTATTGATACTCTGAGGCATATGAAGCTTCATACCTGCCTTGTTTGCAAAATTAGCTCCTCATTTCATTACCTAACCCCATCCTCTCCTGTTTTCATAGATGGACCACACGAAGTCTGAGTGGAGGGTAAAAGAGGAGGGAAGGAGGAACACAGCTTATGAATTGGAATGGTGATAGAGCAAGGATCGTTGGAAAATATACATGCCGGCTATGATGTAAAAGAACGAAAGAATTAGGAAGTCCTTGACCAAAGTTAATGCCCAAGTCTCCGAAACCAGGCCCAAAGCAATGTTGAATATTTCCTGATGAAGTTGGAGACGTTGTAATTCGTCAAAATCCGGAAGTTGACTTTTTGTTTAATATTAAGCACCGAAAATGCGAATCCAGAACATTTACTAGACAGACATTGCTTTTAGCAATCGCTTGAACCCCCCCCCC